CTACGTCGACGCATAACTACCGTTAGAGACTTGAGCAAAATTAAATTATTCCCTCATCCGAATGATCGCATGAATCAATTATGCTCGTAAAATTATTTGAAAAGTGAGGAGATGCAAATTTTTCCTAGCGGCGCGCATACATCCGTACATTCCATTCTGGTACTGGCTTTCAATGGTCTAGCCGGTAACTATTCTAATTGGTATCGATTGTTGCTTTCGGACCATGTATTAAACGTTTCATTGTTACGTTGTAGGTGCCTGCAGATACGTTCACGATGTTGCCAAATCTATTAATTGATTGACAGCCACTCATATCTAAAAATACAACCAAGAACATCCACGGTCAGTCACGAACAGCCATGGACAGCCATGCACAGCCACGGACAGCCATTTGCTTGTTGACAGCTACCGAACAGTCAATGGGTTTAGCCCTCGACAGAATATCACACATGTTTCGCATAGTATTTACGTCTATATTTCCAGAAACACTATCTACCCAGAATTAGAACCAAAGTTGCAACATTTACAATCTCTTACCCTTTACAACCGCAAAGCCAAATGAGCATCTGAAACGTGAAACGTTAAAAAACGAAGTTTGTCGAGATTAATTTTTTTGCCCTTTGAAAGCTACAATGACAGTTGTGTTTCAGACTTACGCGATTTCGTTTAGCCGCAAAATAAGCGTCTAGGATTATCAGCATGGAAACCGCAGGATACGTTTCAGATGTTGCATTCCTAGTATTCCTTCGTGGATACTTCATCTAAATCCGATCGCTACTTTTTAGGTTATCAGAGGACCACGGACAAGCGTACCTACAGGCAGACCGAAATGAGTGACATGGTGTTTCGCGATCTACATGTTGTATAACCTCTAAAAATCATAATATTGGGTTTTCCCAATTGGCGATTAAAATACTTTCTCGCCAGTGGTATGAGAAGTAAAAGTAGAGTTTAGCAGTTCACCAAAACCGACAATTTCACGGATTTGTAAATTACGGTGAATAATAATTTTGTGGTATAACCATTCGCAAAAAGTAGAGCGTCTAGTTAGTTATATTCGGTATCTTCATATATTTGGTCATATGTGTGACAAATACTATAAGGGCTTCCAGAGGAAAAAGCTTAAGCGATTCAATAGATGTAAGGTTTTCAATGTCAAGACGTACGGACTGATTTAAAACGCGGTGGCAGCATTACTAGAACACCAAAATGAAGTCGTAGATATGAAGAATATTGCGAGGTGCTCCTATTCACGGTAGCTAGTAGAATTACGCCTTTCCGTGGTAACCAACGAGTTTAAATAGATTAGAAGAAGCCAAGCCTGTATGTTCATATTGCATTATTTTCCGCTAAAATTGCGTAGTGTGAGTGCATACTTTTGACTTATAGGACTACCGATACCTACCAAAGCGTTGTGACAACACATTGATGATAATGACCAGTGAAGACATTTATTTATTTTATTTTATTTTATTTTATTTTATTCATTACAACACCCTACAGTAAATACCAATTACAGGGTGAGGAAACACAGAACATAACACAGATATAAAAGACAATAATAAGTAATAAGTAATAGACTAAAAAGTGTAAAAGATACATGCTGGTTACTTAATAGTATTCTTTATGTCTGCAATTCTGCAGTTAAATATATCAATCCTGTTACTTGCAGAATTGTAATTCCTACACATCACATGTAAAGGGGAATAGTGTAAATAATTTGTCCGTGCCGCAGGTAGATAAAACGTAACGTTTTGTCGGGATGTTAGCCTAGGTACGTTAAATGATAACTGACCCAAGAAAGCTAAATCATCACTAGCATTAGTGATCAATTTAAATAGAAAAATCACTGACTGGCAAGTGCGTCTTGCTTCAAGACTGCTGATTAGGTGTTTTTCAAGTAAGGAATCATGAGGTATACCTATGGGCGGGTAAACGCCATCCACTTTCAGTGACAAATATTTTAAGAAACGTCTTTGAACACATTCAAGCCTACTTATATGAATAATATGATGCGGATTCCAAATTAGCAATGCATACTCAAGCTTCGACCTAACATATGCATAATACAGCAACTTCAAGGTGGTACTCTGAGTGAAGTCACGGCAGTTTCTTACAATAAAGCCGTACATGCGGTTTGCCTCGGAAATTTTGCTGTCGATGTGTTTGACGAATGTTAGTTGGGAGTCAAATGTCACGCCTAAGTCACATAAAGTTGAAGTCCTCTGAATAGAGCTACCTGACAGGGTATAGTCAAATAACAGAGGATTTTTCTTCAAAGTGTAAGACATTACGTAACATTTATTGATGTTTAATGACAGATTGTTTTGTGAGCACCAAGCATCCAACCTGACCAGATTTTCTAAAAGTTGATCACAGTCTGATTCATCAACTACACGACAAAACATCTTCAGATCATCAGCGTAAAGTAAACAATTCTCGCCAACAGCATTGACTATGTCATTCACAAATATGACGAACAATAAAGGCCCTAGGTTACTACCTTGTGGCACTCCGGAATTGGCTACATACTTCGACGATCTGATGCCATTAAACATCACAAATTGATTTCTTCCTGTGAGGTAGGACTTAAATAGTTGTATTAAAGGATCAGATAATCCATGAGATTTCAACTTATGCAATAGCATCCTGTGATCAACTCTGTCGAAAGCCTTGGAGAAGTCTGTGTAGACCACATCTGTTTGTAATCCTCTGTCAATGTTTTCTGCTATGGTCTGTGTGAAGTTCATCAGATTTGATACTGTTGAGCGCCCTTTCATGAAACCATGTTGTTGAACACATATTTTTCTGCTGACATGATGATATAGTCTGTTATATATTAATATCTCTAGAGCTTTTGAAAAATTGCACAATATTGATATAGGTCTAAAATTTGATACATCATTCCTACTGCCGTTTTTGTGTATTGGACATACTTTAGACAACTTCCATAATTCTGGAATTGTGCAGGTGGTAAGGCACAAGTTGAATAAAAAGGTCAAAGGACACGCCAACACAGAGGCACAGTCACGCAAAATAAAAGCTGGTACATTATCCGGTCCGGTAGTCATCTTAGGTTTTATTTGCTTCAAGGCTAAGACAACTTCATCCTCCTCAAATCTAGTAATATTGAGTGGTTGTTCATTGCTCATTGAAAAGTCATCAGTTTCTTCGGTGGCTGACGAAGACGAGTAGTATTTGGAGAAGTTATCCGCAAAAGCATTTAATATGTCGTTCGGTTCCAAAAGTTCATTACCATTGTAAATCATCCTACTTGATAAGTTTGTTGATTTTCGCTTAGAATTTAAGAAGCCCCAAAATTTATTCGAATCTCTTTGTATTTCGTTCTCAGCTTGTCTGACATATATTTTGTATGCTTCATCTGAATCTATTTTAATTTTTGATCTAAGTTCCCTGAATGTCTGATACGTTTTAGGATCATTGTTGCGTCTGTAAGATCGGTGAATCTTCTCCTTGCGTTTGATAAGCTTAATTATTGCTGAATTGAACCAGGGTGGGTATTTACGTTTCGTTGCTCGGACATATTTTGGAACACAGGTATCAAAAGCATTGTACAGTTTATTATAAAAGAACTCACACGCTTCATTCGCGTCATGAAAGCCATCTAAAGCAGCCCAATCCATGTCTGAAATTAAATTATATAATTGGGGGAAGTTGGCTTTGCGGAAGTTATAAGAATTTATAAATGAAACAGGAAAGTTATGCTTAGTATTGAGACTGCTGTTGACATTACAACAAATATTCAGGGCAGGGTGATATGGGTCTTCATCTAGCAGCGGATCCCACGAATGTTCAACCTCACACAGACCACTACAGAAAACTAAATCAAGGGTATTGTCCATAGAATTTGAAATATTGTTAAACTGATTAATAGCAAGACCCTCAGCAAAGTTGTTCAACGATACCAATTTTGCGTTGCGTCCATGACTATTAGCATAAGAAGTGTAGTTAGCTATGTTGAAATCCCCTGTTATAACTAAATTCTTATCAAATAGGACGTGCGATGACAAGATAGCATCATAAAATTGCTCATATTCAGCATTGGGCTTATCAGGTGGTATGTAGACATTGCAAATGTAAACTGAAAAAGAGTTGGTACAAACCTTGACTGCTACTACATCAATCTTTAGGGCAGAAAGTACTGCCAACTCAGGTATCTCTATCAAAGATGCTGTAAAACGCTCATCAATCGCAATCAACACACCACCACCTCTTGAGCAACCAGTGGTTACATAATCTCGATCTGTCCGGAACACATTATATGTAGTTGGAATAAATTCACTACTCATACATGAGAAATCTAACCAGGTTTCAGTTATTGCGATGATAGGATATTCACACCTACAAATAGCATTATAAAAAAAAGCAGCTTTCGTTCGGAGTCCACGAACATTTTGGTAGTATATTAGAGGTCGCAGCCTATCACTAGAATTAGAATCTACTCCCTTGTGAGTTACGAGGAAGGGATGCATTGGTTGCTACTGACTGAGTAGGTCGTGTCTTAATCTATCAAGGGCTTCATTGTATGCCTTGCATTTCTGCTTATCCCAAACAGCATGATCCGTTTGCACACTATCATCTTTCTGTTTAAGTTTCATACAGTTTGAGCATTTACGAGTCTGTGATTTGCAATGTTTGACCTCATGATTCTCGCTACAGAGTGGGCAAACAACTGCACTTTTACATTTGCTAGAAGAATGATGGAATTCATTACATTTAAAGCAACGATACACATCAATAGCATCGTAAACAGCGCAATTGTCATACCCCACAAACAAGTAACCAGCTTTAACAATTTTTTCATAACTACTCCTATCCACCTGAACAATAGCTTGATATACAGAAGGGTCTTTTTTAGTAGGAAAGTGCTTAACAATTTTACATTCAAAATCATCTTCGAAGATATCAGTATTTCCTTTTAATAACAAGTGCCGTAATTTATCATCTGAATATTTATCTGACATGCCCACTAGCCGAAACTAGCCTGCTGGCTGGGTCTTGTTTCTAACGACTTCGGCATAGGATACTACAGGCTTGTTGACAGAAGGTACTGCATGAGATGATTTCATAGATCTTGATATATCAGCAGATAATTTCGTGACTTGATTCTTGAAAGAAGCCATGGCCTCGTCAATTTTGCCACTCAGTAGATTCTTAACATCATCCTGATTTATTACAATGCAGTTAGGAATGCAGTTCTTACATCTCCAAAACAACCCAGGAACAGTACTTATGACGCCCAGTATATCTGTATTTGAGATACACAAAGAATGAAACTGCTTTTTACATGCGTCGCAAGAAATAGGTGGCCTTGACCGAGTTACCAATGTTTGGCAAATTTCACAGTTGACCATGATGCAAATTAATAGAAACTGATAGACTTACATATGCTATCTGGTCACCTCAAACAAATGTTATCTATGAACACCTCTTGCATCACTTACGAAAAAAACTGATAATTAATGTCCAGTATTTATCACACAAACTAAGAAATTCGAGAGATAGTATACAACACCAACCGGCCGAGCTCCAAGTCACCGAAATTATAGACATCCATATGAATATCCACGAAATGAACCTAATGCAAGACAAGATATTCTAAAGCAGTACCGGAAATATCCGCGCTATTCACTTGGACGCTACATCTTGCTGCTATACTGTCGGTTGACTTACAGACAACCACGAGAAGAGATATGGCATCTTTCCAAAAGCAGAAGCAAATGAAAAGTTCGATGATTAGTGGCGGAAAGAAAAAACAAATAACACTTAGCGGTGGGTTCTGTTTGCAGCCAACCATCCGTATTCTGTCAGGGCGAAACCCATTTATCTGTCTTCCTCCGTTTTAGCGATTCATTTCACGGATGCCACGCGACAAAGTGACGCGGCGACGCTCGCTGACGCTGGCGTCAACGCGTCGTTGGCGTCTTTGTGATGTAAGAGCCCGACCAGAGGAAGAACAAGAAAAACCGTGTCGCTACGACCTGTACCCTATTATTCTCCGTTTCCTTTCCGCAAATTCCTCACTTACGGGACCAACCAATGCCTGTCTGAAAAAGAGTAGGCCAGGCATTATTGGATCAGAAGACGTAATATTGAAAAATAGCCGGAACCTTTTCATGTTTACACCTGACGCTTGGGTAGCCATACAGCAGCAATAACACTAATCAAGAAAAAAACATTTTACTTCCTGTTTATTGGTTTTAAGTAATCAAACCTCACTAATTTTAGGTCAAGTAAAATAGATATGGCAATGAAATGTTGTTTTTAAGAAACACAACAGTTCACTGTATACACCGATCTCAATATAAATTGAAGGTCTTGTGTGATTTTAAATAAAACAAAACAAAAAGCATATGCAAAGCAAAAAATAATATCATGACCGCACTGAGATGTCATTTTGGACTGACTTTTACATGTTAAATCCGGAGTATTTCTTGTGAGACTCAAGCAGTAGTAATAGAGGATTGACTTGTTCCAACGACTGGATTCTTTCACCATTCTCATCACTTACAGCTCCACAGTCTTCAGGAAAAAATTAATATGAAGTTCATGGTACCTTTCTAGGAGTTTTTTCACCAACCGTTAGTAGTTGTCATCTTATCCGTTGTCTAGAAATCCGCGTACCATATCTTCAAAGGCTTTCCGGGCTTCTTTTTCTTTCCTCTCTCTATCAAAGGCATTTATTATGCGATATTGACTCCTGGTTGCAGTAGATGCCTTCTGCTTCCTCAAGTCAAGATATCTTATGATGCCACTCAATTTTCTCTGACTTAGTATGTGAGGCCTACTAAAACCTCCTGCCTTGAAATCAGGCTGTTTTCAATTTCATAATTTTGAGGTATTTCAAGGAGGGCGTTGATCAGAAATAACAACCGTCTACATGATTTGTTCGCTCACGTCAGACCATGAGTACAGCAAAATTTATTGCGCGTCTCTTCCCCCTCAGCCAATCTCGCAGTCTCACTGAGCAAGAGCTCCAACAAACATGTAGGGCCCACTGCTCATTCTGGTGACCCACCTCCACCCCGAAGTAATTCAGTTAAGCCGTCTTCCAACTGGGCTGATGGTTCGCTTCTGGGCTGCAAACGTCATTTCACCATCGACGTAACAAGAGTTCTTGACAGTAGTGTTGCATTTCTGTTGCATTCTGATCTAAAGCATGAAATTGGAAACAATAAGCATTTGTAACAATGAAGAAAAACAAGATAGAGGTAGGTTGTTTTCGGTATTACTAGCTTTTTCATGTTATCGAAATTAAGGGTGATTGCCTACATCAGATTAGTTAAAAAGGGTTTATTTGGCATTTCTAGTTCTCTGAATCTTATATACTTGCCAAGGTGAGTACGATTTTCGGACCACTATGAGTAGTGAGATCTTATTACTTAAGTATATATCTTGAAAATAACTCTTTATGGATATCTACGTATTTTCGGGAACAGGTATTGTTAAACACGAAACATTTTCAGCGTGCAGCGGTGTAATTAGGGATGTAACGAGTACTCGATTTGTAACCGGTTCTCGGCATACTCGGAGCATTTTGCCGAGTACCTGGTTTCGCAGAGTATTGAATTATTTGGACTGGCAATTACTAGGTCTGAACGCCAGACACACAACCAATGAAAATCAAAGGATTGTATCTGTGAGGTACGCTTTTTCCAAACTTCCACCTTCATAGAAATATCCAGGCTTGTAGCTAATTTTTGCCAAATCGTTTAGCTGATTTGAATGATTTTTTAGTCAACGTCGGCTGTTCTCTTCAGTAAGCTAGTCGATTTATGGTATTTGCGGAACTGATTTCTTATATACAAGGGGTTATTCTTACGTGCTTTTGCATTGAAAATACTGTCCATGGAGCAGCTACCATATCAGTTTAAAGTGACACCACACTGTATTGCTGTTTTGAACTATTATTAGCTCCTTTATCTTTTACGCAGGGTGTTTGAAAGGTCGATACAAAGTCTTGGGGAGCGGATAGGGCAGACCATTTATAGTCTTTCAAGCCAAACATACCTCAGTACAAAGTCTTACGATTTTTGAGATATTCGGATTTTCAACTTTAAATCATAAATTAGTAAACGAAACAAAATATACTATTAAAACATGCTTTATTGGTGTTTGCAGTGAGAACCATTGTTTCTAATACATGCTCGAGCTCTACGTGTTACTGCGGTAGTTGTTGTATTTAATAAGGTCATTAATTTTTTTATAATTATTGCTGCATTAAACAAAAAGGTTCTCGAATTTTTCTTATTAAATGGTCTCTTGATACGATTTCTTCAGTGCAAACTAACTGTTTAGCCCTCCCCCAGACATAGAAATCCAATGGTGTCAATTCCGGGGATCTAGCAGGCTCACCTCTGCCTATCCAGCTATTTGGAAAACTATCGTCCATATCGTCTTACGTCTAAATGGAAATGAGCTGTACATCCGTCGTGTTGAAAAACAATTTGCATGTCATCTGGAATTTCTACTCCTACAAGTAATTCGGGAAGATCATTTTGCAAAAAGTATAGGTAACTGTCGCCGTTTAATCTTTCACGCAAAAATGACGACCGATTAATCTTTTTCCCATAACGGCGGCCCATACATTAACGGGAAATTTGTGCTGTATTTTGCTTTGAAAAATTGGATTCGTCCTTCCATAGAATGCTTTCCAGGAACCGTTCATTCTCAATGTCACTATTTAAAAGAAAACGCCAAAATTTTCTTCTGCGAATAGGATCACCATCTTCAAGTCGTTGTACGCCAATACCTTGAAAAGGATATTTTCGTTCACGGTGCATAATACTCCAAACCTTCCACGGCGACAAACCAAGATCAGCAGCAACTTTCCTACTACTTGTAGTGGGATCATCTTCAAACGCTTGGAGGATTAGATCTTCGGCTTCAGAAGGATGTCGACCTAGATTAACACCAGGTTCATCACGTGTTCCACTTCCAGTCTAATGAAGGCACCTATAAGTATTCCAAAAAAAAAACTGACATTAGGCAATCTTCTCCCATGAAATCCCTCGTCGTGCTTCTAGTCCATGGTCATCTGCTCTGCCATACAAGTAAACGATACCTGCGTATTTTTCGTTGGTGAAAGCGGCCACTTTACAAACTAATTAATTCAGGGTTTTTGGACTGAAATTCATGAATTTCTATCGACTTGTTTGGATAGCAATAAAGCAAGAATATGTGGAATTTAGTTTTATCATGGACGCAAACACTTATCAGTATCACAAAAATAGGAAAATATGCATTTATTATTAACTTGTTTACAGCCAGTTTGTTTTTCTTTTTTCTATCTTCTGAGAAAAAAACCACACTGTCAGGTATTTAAAAACTATTTCATATAGTCTGATGTTTTTCCAGTGATAAGAGAAACAAAAGACATATTTTTTTTTCAATAAAGATAAGAAATCTCCAATAACTCGAAAACCGTAAAACTTTGAACTAAGATCTGCCCATCACCTCCACAAGATTTAGTATCGATCTTCCAAACACCCTGTATAAGCATTCAAAGAAACCAAAATGTAGTAAAATTTGAAAAGTAATGTAAACAACCGATACTCCGCATTTCTGCAAAAAAAAACTTGAATCAAGACGTAATGATAATTTCGGTTTAGTCCCACCCAAATTAGAATTGTTATTGCTACGACAGCTATGAACTGTGTTTTCTTTTTATACCTTACTCTGAGGGCAAGCTGAGAAACCTACAGAATCGTTTAGTGTTCGCGATGGCCATGACATGGTAGCGATTCTATGAGGTAGCCTTTAGAAATTTCAGCAGCTTGGGGCATGCAAACATGCGGCTTTAAGATGTTGACTATATATAAGAACTGAAAAGCATGTCAGATACAAGTTGGCTTCAAAATATGGCATGGAACATACACACATTCTGGCCCCGCCTACGACATCCGCCGGGTGGCTCTGCGTTCGACAGTCAGAGACCGTCTACCACCTACGGATAATCACAACATTCATAGCCAAGCGAAAAATTTCTCTTGTGACAGGATTCAAAAACGCTCAGCGCACGACAACTGATCAGGAGACCGAAGAGTGTACTACTACGGCCACCGCTGCTGTCATTGTACAAAGACAACTCTTGCTCAATAAATGATGCAGTCTTATGATCCAACATTTCTTATGCTGTTGCTTTATTTGTACCTTAATTTGGTACAATATCGAGATTCCGTTTTTCAAAGACGTATACGTTGCTGAAATTATATATGTATGTAATATATTTCCACAATCACGTCTGAA